GGAAACAAGTTTTAAAACATCCTTAATTATAAAATAATTCCATTTGATTATATTTCACTTATGTTAGAAAACTAGCTGCCAAAAATATATGACAACAAATGCAACAGGAAAAAAATAAAAAGAACAGATTCTGCCCTATCTTCTGCTCACTCTTCTCAAATGCCCCTCATTGGCAGGCTGTAACTGGATATCCCTGCAAATCCTTGGATATCCACTGTGTATCTGTGGATGTTGGTATGGATATCTTCAGCTCATTTTCATAGATATGGATAAAAATTTTGAATCCATGCAGGGCTGTAGATGTATCTCAATTTAATCCCAACTTTTCCTACATTCCAATACAATTTTTGTGTATTCTCTCTTTTATTGAGAAAATTATTTACAATGGAAATGAAGTAGGATGACTCCACTATGGTTAGAGATCAATATATTTATCCTCAAAGGAGTGAATCTCATAGTATTTTAAGTTTCCTGCATTAATAATTTTTGTGGCTCTCATTTTGTGTCTTTATCATCCACTGCATCCCAGATTTGGTACTGGCATTTGATTCGTCTTTCTCCTCCCCCCCCCCTTTGTCTTTTATTTCTAGTTTGGACATTTTCAGGGTTAGGACAGTGTTTTCTTATTTGCCTCTACAACATTTAATATATTTGGGGCGCACAACTCCAATATAAATAATTCAAGATAATATTACTGCAGGCCTAGATTGTGACATTACAATCTTGCCTATAAGAAGTGTGATGCTCTGGGGCAGCCTGTTTGGGAGAGATCCACAATGCTCTGAGGAAACAGAAAACTACATTAGGTCTATTCTTAGACCAGTGTACGCTTCCTGAAATGTCAGCATAACTTCACCGCCAGGCATATTAGATGGGGGAGAATCCACTCTGCCGCCTCCTTGTTCCCTTCCACTTACTTGTGTGAGGAGGTTGTAGCCCCTCTGTGGATCCTGCTACTCCTGTAGCACTGAAAGCACTGGTGCAAGACAGTAAAGGGATGGGGACTATGCTTTTACCAACTTCTAACAGCATGTAGGATGAACCACAACCTGGCCCTTAAATGATGTACCCCTGATAAGAACCAATCCTGCAAAATTGGAGCTAAACATACATGGCACTGTGTAGGACTGGGCCCCTCGTGTTGATTGGAGCAGCTGAGTGGCAACAGTGTTTTCCCACACAGAAAAATCACTAAATTTCTGTTGTCTTTCGTGAAGGTTAAAAAGAAAGCAAACACTGTTCTCTGTCAATCAGATTTTGAGAAATCTTATGTGAAATAGAAACAATCCATATTCTCAACCCACATTCCACCTCATGAGTTATGCTGGCTATATTCCTAGCTGGAATTAGACCTTAGATTGCTGTGACCCAAGTCAGAGCCAATGTGGGGGTGGAGCTGGACAAATAATCCAGGATGCATAGACAGCTCCCTGACACCCCCATCCCCTGACTGTGCTGCACAGATCTTGGCCGCAGCAGATAATCTGACCTTGAGG